TATGGTGTTCCGATGCTGGTGCTCGTTCTCCCAGCAAAGTGCACAGGCGAGGGTAGCAAAGCGTCACAAGCAGGAGCGGCGGCGGCAGGAAATAGATGAACAACTCCAGCAGGCAGAGCTTAAGTCCAAGCAGGACGGGAGTCATTCCCTTTACAAGGTAATCAAGCGCTTCAGGTCGGGGAGGCCCCAGGAAAGAGTTCAGCTTCGTGATTCTGAGGGTCGCTTCCTTACTGCCAAGGAAGAAAGAAGACAATTAGAGGAATATTCCCTAGACCTGTTTGGAGCAGGGGATGACTTCCCGCTTTCAGGGATACAAGGCAGCCTGCACATCACTGAGCAAGAAGTGCAAGAACAGCTTGGCACAATAAAGCTGGGCAAGGCGGTTCCTAAAGAGAGTCCTCCCGTAGTAGCCTGGCGCTCCCTAGGTCCCCAAGCAATCCGGCTAATCTCGGACACCCTTAATAGGGAAGTCACTGCAGGAAGGCTCTCGGACAGTGTCACCTCGTCACAGATCTCCTGGCTCCCAAAGCCTCCCAAGAAGCCAGACAAACCAACCTCACTCCGTCCGATCGGGGTGATAGCACCTGAGGGTAAGGTCCTAGCCGGACTCGTGAGGAAGAGACTCAAGTGTACCCTCCAGCTAGCAATGACCGGCGTCTCTCAGTTCGGCTTTGTCCCAGGCAGGGGCACAGAGGAGGCTATGTGCAAGGCCCTCACACATGTGGACCAGGCCAGGTTCAGACAGGCCCTCACCACTAGGGCTGCACGTAAGGGACAACAGGGGCTCAAGCTCAGAGGCAGTCTCACCATGAGCGTGGACATGAGCAAAGCTTTTGACACTGTAAACAGGCTGCGATTAAGAGAGGCCCTGGAAGCCGAACAAGCAGATCCTCTTCTGATAGAGGTGGTAGGCCATCTCCACATCAAAGCCTTGTATAAGATGACAGCCAGCGATCAGAGCTTTGAGATAGCCACACGCAGGGGAATCAAGCAGGGATGTAAGCTAGCACCCTCTTTATTCGCCTTTGCATCAGGGCTTCTCTTTAGGAAGCTCTCTGGGAAAATCAGCCCAGCAGAACTAGTGAAGCTCCTCACAATGTACGCAGATGATAGCTTGATCCAGTCGCATTTCGACTCTGAGGCCGGCCTCATGTCAGCACTAGGGTACTGCGACCTGCTTCTGGATCAGCTGGTAGAGCTTGGGTTCAAGGTCAATCCGTCCAAGTCAGCAATTCTGCTCCAGCTGCAAGGGGGCTCAGCCTCGACCATTAGGAAGAAACTCTTTCGCCAGGTCGAGGGGAGAGAAGTATGTTGAACTCCCTTCGGGCAGGCTGATATCGCTGCGCTATCAGGTCCCATACTTGGGGGTCATTCTTTCCTATCACGACTATGAAATGAAGACTCTCAAACATCGGCTGTCATCCAGTAAGCTTGCAATGTCAGAAGTAGCCCATGCAGTTCGGAACCACCGAGTCTTATCAGACAGACGTCGTCTGTCGATTTGGACAATAACTGCGTGGGCCTCTGCTCTGTATGCACTCCACGTGGTGGGGATGACACAGCAGGGATTGCAAAAGCTCCATTCACACATGATGTACCAACTCAGATTCGTCCTGCGGAGTTACTCCCAGGAAACGAAGGAATCAAACCAGGAGTTACTCCGGAGATTACGGATTCCTCACGTGAAGGAGCAGCTGCAAAAGAGAATGACCCAGTTTATAAAGAGACAGCAACACTCCGATCCCCAGCTTCTCCCACACTATAAGTTGCGTGCTGAGGCAGTTAGCCAGGCATTGGAAGGCCTCTCCACGGACTTCTCCTCGCACCATGTGGAGGATAGGCTTCTGACCTGCGGTGAATGTGGAGCATGTCTCTCTGGCACCGGAGCACTTCGTCGCCACCTGCAGAAGGCTCACCCAGATTCTCAGCAGTGCCTGAAAGGACCCAAATTTGATCCTATTTTGCATTCAATGCCAGGGTCAGCAACTTGCATCGCCTGTCGAGCAACATTCCGAACAGTGTTTTATCTGCGCAGACATGTCGAAGCATCTACCTGCCCTAGGGTAGAGCTTTTGCTTAGACAGCAGGAAGAGCTACCCTTAGAAGCACAGAACCGGATCTCACTCGTAGAAAGTCTACTGTCTGATGCCCAGGACAATCCAGAAGGCGCCGCTCGAAATCCGGCGTTCCATGATTACCTGATGGAACACTGCGCACTTTGTGGTCAGGTCCTCGTAGGCCAGAAAGGAGCCAAACAGCATTTAAACAAGCAGCATCCTGAGGTGATGGCCAAGCTGGAGAAAACTCTCCAACCAAGACTCAATCAATTCAAGGTCTTCTTCCGCAAAGGAGATAGCTGTCGATACTGCAACCTTCGTGTGGATGCCCCGGGTAGACATGCTCAGCAGTGCGTTCCATTACTGCAGGTGCACGTACTGCAGGAGGTAGCGCGCCAGCAGCTCAGCAAGCAGCACCGCGAATATACTCGAGCAAAGTCCAC